GCTGTGAACCGTGCCAACGCAATGAAAGCCTTCGTAAGACAAACAGCGCCCTGTAGACAGAGTTTGGCCTGGTGGCGCAGATAGGCTTATCTACTCCACCGGACTGGTAAGCCATTGAACCCCCGTGCGTGGGCATTTCTCTGCACCAACTGGTCCGATCGGGGCGTGCGATGGCTTGAATGATAGCTGTGAGCCGTGTCAACACGGTGCGGGCAGAGGTAGGCGTGGTTCAGCTATGTGACGGGAGGTATACCGGGACAACTGACATTTACCCCCCCCCCCCAGATGCTGCGGAGCCCCCTCTGTTGACCATATCTCTGCGGGAACATATTAGATGGGAGTGTCCATATAATCTTGGGAAGAGTGGTATGGACCGTGCGGACACGTCGAAAAAGGTTTGAGGCCAATGAGAGCTGTTTGGACGGAGGTTCGAGACGATTACTGCTTCCTGACATGCTGCGGAGCTCCCCTTTTTCAGCATGTTTCTGCAGCCACCGGTCGGATTTAATTTCCAAATTGCATTGCAGAAAGCTGTAGTCCATAGATACACGATGACATTGGTTTGAGGTCGCTGGAGCTCTGTGGATGGAGATCTGCCTGGTGGAGCAAACAAGAGGTAACTCCACCGGTGGAGCAAACAGCATTGCCGATTATCGGCGTGACGGCACGAGGCTGAGATCAGAATCCATTTGTCGTCTTTTTTTGTTCTTCTTCCATCTAATGTTGTCGCATCGGGAACTGCCACGATTTACCTACGGAGATCATAGTTTTCCAATGCATGTGTTCGTATGTCCTAGGAAGTACCGTGACGATTTCCACCGACTGACGGGAAGTATTCTGAAGAGGGAGGTCTTGGCATGCATTCCGAAAACGTGTTGGTTTGAATGTTTCATGTTTTACATTTCGCAGTGCCCCGTCCACGGGTGATGGGAAGAGGCTGACATTGGGCATTGTCTGTACGTTGTTTTCAGTCATGCTGTCCCAATTGTGCACGCCATTCGCATCTTCCCCGTTCTACCTGCAGAGAGAGCTAATATTTTGACAGTGCATGAGTTCTTGCCCTGGGAATTCACAGCAGTGGGTCTGATGGATACTTCTTCATACACGTGGCAAAACGGCAACTACCGATGATTTGTACGAACGCGTTGGGGATTTTATCCTCACTCAGAAGTAGCCGTGCTTCTTTGCGTATACACTCTGGTTTGGCATGGATAGGCAGTTTGAGTATTTGGTCTGTGGGGGACATACATTCATTCCTGTACGACAGTATTGACCACAATATTCAGAATGAAACCTACATATATATGTGTAGTCCCAATATCCATGCATATAAGGATGCAATATTGAAATTTCGTGGATACAGGGCAAAGCCTTTCCGAGGTTCAATGGGTTTCGGATGATGGATTTCTGTTGGGAGATCGACGATTTCGGAGGACAACATCATCTTGGTTGGGTGGATTAGTTCGATTTAGATAGATGGTTTGTAGAAGGGCGATCCCCCTTCTGCCGTACGTGGGCCAGCGTCCTCCCTTCACTAACAATTGAATCCTCCTGTGTCAAACTTCCTACTTCCCCCATAACCCTGCCAGGCCGTACTCGGCCCCCAACGCTTTAAATCTTTCCATGCGTCGGCTACCCACTATGAGAATCACCCAGAATCAATGGACAGCTCATTGTGCGCCGACAGTTGGCAGCAACGTTTTCCCTAGATGGGCCGTCCAAGGCCATGCCCATGGGAAACATTCCCTAAATGCTCACCATGTGGGCTCCCAACGGTGGGCTGCCGACGTTTCACAGCAATTCCGCCTGCTATGGGCGGCCTATGGGCGACCAAATTGTCGTCCCCAACATGCTCACCGCGGGTTGGCCGCTTTTGATGGTCTGCATTTGGCGGGCTGCCCGTGGGCAACCGTCTACCCCCTCTGATCGGAAATGTAAGATCGGATGGGATATTCGGAATATATATATCAACGGTGTGTAGTTTAGGGTTAGGGTTAGGGTTAGTGGCTAGATGTTCCTTTTCTTCATTATTTGGTTTTGCATTATGCTCGGGTTGGATATAGGCGATGCTTCAGGAAACAAAAAGAAACGTGGATGGCCATGTTTCATCCCCTCTACGCTGAAGTTTGCTCCGGCAGTATTCTCAAGCGGACATTGTTAGTATGGAACCGAGTGTGTCGATTCTTTTCTCGTACGGCCCCCAAAAAAGTTTATTTTCCGACATTTTTTGTTCTTTGCAATCTTGAGTACTTCAGCTATCGGTAGAGCGCCATTCTCACTTGTTCGTACTTCGTCTTTGGTGTTGACCGGAAGAAAAGAGTTACAGTGGCAAAAGTGAGACGCTACGAGAGGCAAAAACGAATGGAATAAACATTTTTTTTAATAAACGAATATTTTTTCGGGGGGAAAACGGTGTTGTAAGCGGGGATCGAACTCCTGACTTCTTGCTTCCACGTCCTAGCGAGAAATTTCCCTCAATGTCCTAACCGATCTTATATTTCCATCAGAGGGAGTATGTCGGTAGCCCATGATGGATGGGCAGTGTCCATCAGCTGCCCACGATGGGCTGCCCACAACAAAGGCTGCCCAACAAAGGCTGCCCATGGGCTCCCCACCATTTCCTTCCCTGCCAATCAGCTGCCAACGGTTCTCTGCCCATGGGCTACCCATGATCTACCCAGGATAGGCTGGCCACCAACCGCCCATGGTGGGCTGCCCATGAGCTGCCCATGGTGGGCTGCTCATCATCCACCCATCGTGGGCTGCCCGTGAGCTGCCCACGATGGGCTGCCCATGGTGGGCCGCCGATGGTGGGCTGCCCGTGAGCTGTCCACGATGGGTCGCCCATGGTGGGCAGCACACCATGGCCATGGGCCGCCCGTCATGGATATTTTGGGCATGGACATGCCCACGAGTGACCCATGGGTGACCCATGGGCATCCCATGGGCAATGCCCATGGGATGCCCATGGGTCACCCATGGGTCACTCGTGGGCATGTCCATGCCCAAAATATCCATGACGGGCGGCCCATGGCCATGGTGTGCTGCCCACCATGGGCGACCCATCGTGGACAGCTCACGGGCAGCCCACCATCGGCGGCCGCCCATGGGCAGCCCATCGTGGGCAGCTCACGGGCAGCCCACGATGGGTGGATGATGAGCAGCCCACCATGGGCAGCTCATGGGCAGC